ACCAATCAGAACACGTCTACAAACTGACCAATCAGAACTCGTCTATAAACCGACCAATCAGAACGTGTCAACAAACCGACCAAGCGGAACACGTCTATACACCGACCAATTGGAACACGTCTATGAACCAACCAATCAGAATGCATCTGCAAACCAATCAATCAGACTGTATTTATGTCTCCGCAGGACGTGAAGGCTCAGCGCAGCGTCCCTCTGATTGGCTTTGAGGTCTCTCTGCCGGAGTCATGTGACCGCCTGGAGCGACGCCACGCCTTCAAGATCTCCCAGAGTCACCTGACCCTCTATTTCAGCGCTGAAGGGGAGGAGCTTCAGCGCCGTTGGATAGATGTTCTGTTGAGGGCCGGGAGAGGGGAGGAGCCTCAGATGCACCCACCAATCGTGGAGAGTCTGGAGGAGGAGGGGGAGGAGCTTGCTGCAGCAGAGGGGGAGAACACGTGATTCCGAAGGAGGTCCTTCAGCAGCGAAGAAGGCGGGGCCTTTCGAAGAGAATCAATCCTGATTGGAACCAGAACAAACAGAAGAAAATGCAACCAGAACAAATCAGTTCACACCAGTCCATTCTGCCATCCATCACTTCGTCACTTTGTACACTACCCACGATCCTCAGCTGTCATCGCCATGGAGACACCTCCATCTAGAGCTGTGACAGCATTTCCAGAGCGCCAATCAAAGCAGCCTAAAAGTGAACGAGCAGTCGATTGATCAGGAGCTGCGCTGATAATCAATTGATTGTTTCTGTTTCAACAGGCGTTTTCTGGTTTTAGTTTTAGAAATCCGTTTTGGAACCAAACCAGCATTTAGAAAATAATCAGCACAATATTTGAACAGGACACGGATCGGTGGGTTCAGCGTTGGAGTCCATGACCTATCGGCTGCTGCACAGTCTGGAGCTTCTGATTGGATGTTTCCTCAATCGATCAACATAAAGCACAACATTGTACGTGTTCCATGTTGTGTCTGAATTTAATGTTAACAGTTCCTAACAATGTCCTTTCCACGAGAACTTTCACTGCAGGGACCCTCCCAGGAGTCCAGGTTTCTCCAGTTGGTCAGCTGTGTTTCCACAAGGTGGCGCTCAGTGTCACGACTTCCACTGCAGGAACTGGAGAACGTTTCCACTGACCCTTGATGATTCTTTCGGTCCTTCTGTTTCCACTGTAGAACCGAACAGTTCCTGTATGCAACTCCAGTTCTATGTAGGAAACAAAACAGTAGAGGTTTGTTCTGTTAGAACATCTGGAGAACTTTGTTGTTGATGGCGATGGTAGAGAGCAGAAGAAGCTGCTGGATGAGAACATCAAGAAGACAGACAACAAGTTGTCCTCTCTGAGTTTAACCAATCAGTATTAAGGCCCTCACGGCAGGTTGTCAGAGATGCTCTAGTTCTAGTTCCTAACCCGGGGAAAGGCCCTTTGGTCACCATGAAAGCTGTCCTGACAGAGCTTCTGCAGGGATGGTGTCTGTGGTCACCCTAAATTGATCTTCAGGTTCCTGCACTGAAAGCCAACGTGGATCACACCTTGTTCTTGGAAGAAGGTTTATTGTTAACTAAAAGCCTTCAAAACTTTCACTTTGTCCTCCTGCAGGTCATGTCTCCTCTTAGTGATCATCTCCAACCTCTACCAGCCCTTTCTGTACCACTTTAACCGCTGTTTGCATCTGTCCTCTCAGAATGGACTCAACTCACATGCAAACAGCGGTCTTCAGGTGGTTTTAGTACCTACTCTGGAGGAGGTACTCTGTTCCTCCCTGAAGACGGCCCTGAAAGAGGTTCTAGAGGGACGGTTCTTGTGGTTGGCACAAATGTTTGGTTCACGTTAAAACAACCTCGAAGTTCTTGCAGTGGAAAACAGTCTGTTGCGACCCTGAGACCTCTGGTGGAAACACAGGGAGCAGAACGGAGCACCTCAGAAGGTTCTCCATTTCAGAAGGAAGTTCCTACGATGGAAACATGATCCTGTCTATTAAACACATAACCTCAGAGTTCCTGAACATCCTCAGAACCTGTAGACAGAATATGGACAGTAAACCGGAGAAGCTGATGGGAGAACCCACAAACTGTCCACAGAATGAGACCTGACTTAAACGCTGAACAGAACCCGTCCTGCCCGTCACTTTTAATGCTTCCATTAATGCAGGAGGACGAGTCCTGTTTATTCAGAGAACATGGACTTACTAGCTCTCAGCATTACTGCCAGTCTGTTCCGGTGGTCACTCGTTGTAGCGCCGACGCATAGCATGACATCGACCCAGTAATGCTGATTGTCTCGGAACAAAGGTGCATGTCAAAGCCGGTTCTTGTGGGCAGTGCAAATATAAAAAACTTAAACAGAAAGAAAACAAACAGTTCCAGGGTTCTGCAGAATCTGGACATTCATGTCTGTTGACGGGATTAAGTTAACGTGGACCCAGCTGGGCTCAGGTCCAGCATCAGGTCTCAGTTAAACAACAACTTTCATCAATGAAAACATGTCGGCTGAAGCCGGATGTCCATCAGCTGCAGGACGGATCCACAAAGAGATTAAAGAAGAAGAGATTCTCTTGTTTTCAAATAGTTCAGCAGAACATAAAGTGACTGTTAAAGAGACCGAAGAAGCCCCTTTAAATGCACTTAAACTATTTTAATGCCAAATTCCCCTGAAGAAAAATTCAGACCTCCAAGCTGCCGATCAGCAGCCTGTGAGGAGGTGAACGATGTTTCCCAGTAGCCTCTGCTCTGAGGTGTGGACTCTGCCCTCTACTGGTGAAGACCAGTACTGCAGGTTTTTCTAAACTCACAGAGGCCTGCAGAAACATCTCTCAGCATTTTAAAGTTTTATTTGACCTAGAAATGTTCAGAGATTATTGTTAGAAATATATTTATGTCCTTCAGATGTTCGGTTCTCAGATGTCCAAGTGCTTTTGAAGTCTGACCAACTTTTCTGATCACAAACACACAAAGCAGAGAAACTGTCTCCTCACCTGCTTCATGAATGAATCTATGGTCTAAACAGTGGCTAACCCAATCACTTCACTGCTGATGTTTCAATAGTGAGGTGGCAAAAAAATAAATAAAATTAAAGTTGAAAAATGGGTTTATCATACATGACTGCATAGTTACACAATTCTATGGAATTAGGACCCCAAAGGTCTTCTTCTAAACAGTCGGTGTCATGGAGAGAGGACGTGTGAAGCTCAGATGATTAACAGGTTAATCACCTAGTTGACCTGAAAACAAATCAGTCAAACCAGTGATTCATTATTTTTTAAATTAAAATTCAGAAATGTATCTGCTTCCAGTTTCTCATGTTTGAATCTTCGTTTCTTTTTCTGAATATTTGGACTGTTGGTCCGACGTTGGAAGTCTTGTACTCTGAGAAGATTTTCTGACCTTAATTGACCAGATGATTTAATAATTAATGAAGGAAATAATAACTAATGTTGGAAACAATCTTCTGTGAGATACAAGGACACTGATGATGTGTTTTGATGAAAGAAGACAGTTAAAGAGAGTTCGAGACATGAATAGGAACCAGAGACTGGACTGAACCTTTCGGTGGTTTCTGTGTCCTAGATCTTGCAGATGATCCAGGAATGAGATGGAGCAGATCTGATGTGAAAGGACAAAGTGAACTTTAGTTGTTTTTCTCCTTTTGACTTGCAGTGGTTCAGTAATTCTGTCAATATAAACTCCTTTTGGACAAAGTGTTTTGATAGTGAAAAATATTCTGAATATTATTATTGCTGTTCGACAAACTGAACAGATCGTTGTTGGATATTTCTGTGTTTGATGTTTGCTTGATGCAAGTTGATGCAAAAAGAAAAAGTTTTTGTAAATATAATTTATTCTCCCGAGACCCGGCGGTCATGTGACTGTGTCAAGGTCAAAGGTCAGCGCTTGCTGTTTCTCCACGCAGACAGAGCCACGCGGCGGCCATGTTGGCTCCACGCTTAAACAGGGTGAAGGTTAAAGTTCTCTGTGTTGTCCTTAGCCAGACAATGCATCAGGACATGGCTAGCCTAGCTTAGCACAAAGATAAGAAGTCAGATCAACTTTTGATGAAGCTTGGCTCGCTGTTGGCTAATTCTAATTTTCATTTATTACTGGCAGTTAATCTGTCAAATGCACAACACAAGGTAACACTGCTATCATAAACTAGCCAGTAGCAAATTGCACAAGAGGCTGCAATTTGCCTTCTAACTAACCACCTTAACTACAATGCTAAATATTACAGCCACTTTTAGCCAACTACAACCAGTTACAGAAAGTTCAAGATGTTCTGATCATTTTCTTCTTTCATTGAACGGTCATTGACTTGTCTGGTGGAACGATGCTAACAGTTTCCCCTGCTAAGCTAGGCTAAACACCTCCTGAAACATGTGAGTTTGAGCTAAAAGTGTTATGAAAGGCGCATTTCTGGAAATGTGTCTTTCTTTAACTTCTACCTCACTCCCTCAGTTTGTACGTGGCTCTGGCTGTCGGCGTGTTTTTAGCATGTTTTAGGCGTGTAAAGCAGTGGGAATGGAAGGAAATGGCCAGTAGCTTCGCCTTATAGATCCCATCATCACCTGCTGCTTCAATGTGGTGAAAACGTGTCTGCGGCTGATTCTCTTAGTTTTTTCAGATCTTTTCTGTTTTCAGAGAAGCTTGAAGGTTGGAGAGACCAGTTCTGACAGGTTCTGACTGGCCCTGACTGGTTCTAACCAGACCTGACCACTCATAACTGGTTCTTACCGGTTCTGACTGGTTCTGACTGGCCCTGAGCAGTGTGTGGTACAGTTGAACAGTGGTGTGTTGTATCAGTCACTCTTTGTTCAGTGAATTGTTGGTTAATATATCAGATCTGCATTCAGTATTTAAGCTGCTGTTGTTTCTTTGGGCTGGATGTCCCTTCAGAACCAGCTGCAGCTGGTGATACTAGTTAGAGCTGGTTAGACCTGGAGATGACCACGTTATTAGATGATGGAGGATTACTTTAGCAGATGTATTTCCTTGTTATTCAGCTTGTAATTGTGTTGAAGCAGTTTCTGTTATTGTCCATTGACATGTCAGTGAAAAACTCAACGTGCTCTCCCCAGTTAGAACCATCCACAACCGGTTACAGCTGGTTCCCAAACGGTTCCAACAGTAAAACCAGAAGTTGGACAGTTTTACTGTTAAAAGAAGGTTCTGAGCAGTTTAAAACTGAATGTAAAGAATGTGCAGCCTGCTGATCTGGTTAGATCGGACCAGTTACTGGTTACTGCTAGTTACAGCCACATACAACCAGTCTAAACGAGTTACAGCTAGTTAAGTGATGGCATTTAACCAACAAAGGGAAGTTTGAAGGTTTTGAAGCAGCTGAAAGAAGCTGGTTTGGACCAGTTGGACTCGGTAGTGGTCAGCCAGGTACAGTCTGTCAGTTACTGCTGGTTATTAACTGGTTGAACTGGTGCTGTGCAGTCTGAACTGGTTCTACTTTCTTACAGTTTTTTTGAACTCATTTTGTGCCAAACCAGATTCCTGTTAGCGTTCCGTTTTTAATAGATTTCCTGCTGATTCATTGGTCAGTGATCTTCTCATCACGGTGCTGTGGGCTGTTTATGGCTGCTGTTACCATGGAGACCATCAGGAGACCAAACAAACCAATCAGAAGTGGACTACGTGATGGCGTCAGTCAGATGATTTCCTTAGCCACAGCCCACTTCTTCTGACTCGTTGCCATAGTGACCTTCTGGGCATCTGGAGCTGCCATGTTACCATGGTAACCACGGTTACTCCTAAGTCATTTCCAGAGTCTCCAGAGACGGCTTTGCTACGGTAACCACAGCCGCTGGCTTCATAGTGCATAGGCCTCATGTTACCGTAGCAACCAGTGGACCCGAGGTGCTGTGACAACGGCACCGTCCTCCGTCCCTCCTCCGGTCCAGCAGCCGCCATGTGTCTTCTCCTTTGTGTTGTACTATTAATTATTGATCAGTCGATTGATTGCAGGTTATCGGTTAGTGGCCGGCCACTGCCTTCCATGCTGTCGGTGTCTGTTTCCCATCATGCACCTCTGTGAGAAAACAAGATGACAAATGTTATAAACGAAATAAACACGTATGGAAGCAACTCTGCTGCTTGTTTCTGATGACTGAGCTGCTGGAGAACCGCTTACACACACACACACC